TATTTTACAGGTTTATAGTTAGAAAGATCATTGTGATGGAAAGAGACAATCAAAAACTAAATACTCACCCATGTCCTAGGCTCACAGTAGAAAACTCCTGAAGGAGGAATCTCTAGAAAGAGATCTTTCCCTAGTGACAGTCAGCCCCTAAATGGGGTCTAAGAGAAGTGAAGCCAGGCTCTACCCCCTTCCGGTCACACAGCTGAATTGCCTTCACCTGTGCTCCCAGGGCTGACTCAGTCCTTGCCTCAGGTGATCAATCAAGTGGTTCAGGCTGTGACTCAACAGTTCCCATAAAACTAGAGACCCAAGCTTTAAGAGGAATGTGTATATAGTTAAAGAATGAGAAGCTGGAAACACAGACAGTGAGGGACTGCAGTGTATATTCTTCTCAAACATTTTTAGCTCCACTTCCATCCCATGCTGCAGTGACAAGCCTCCAAAAATAGTGGCAGGGTCCTGTGACACATTTAAGTTACCTGAAATCTCAGAGGGGTAATGGACATGACAGCACAGTACCTCCGGGAAGCCAAAGCCCTCTCTTCAGTTTTTCATTCTCTCAGAGTGTGATTGCAAAAATAATATAAATGCAATAACATTTCCAAAAACCTTTTCAAGAGAAAAATATAAGACTTACCTGAAAACTCACAGACCATCTTGACACACAAGACAGAATTCCCTCAACTCAAAAACAGTAACAACAAAAAAACTACAGGATAAAAAAATTGACTCCAGAGAACTACTTATTCTCTCTAGTTACTGCTACCTACATTGGTACCTTCTCATTATACTGGCTTACCTCTTCCAATAGGTGTCTTTAAGCTTCATATACTCTTCACCAGGTACTACTCCAGACAAAGTGCAAGGGCTTGTCTTTCTTAAACACTGACCATGCCTAAAGAGAAATGCAAATTATTATAATCTTCATTTTCCTTCAGAAACAAAAGCAACACATTCATGCTAACACCTAACTTGTTGCTGTGAAGATACACCTCCACTTTACAGAGCATGAGTGATAAATGCCAAGTGGAGATAGAATCCACACAGCTGGAATGGGTCCCAGCTGATGTGTAGTAGTTGGAGGTCACTTCCTCTTTCCACAGCTACTATAGTTTTCATGGTGTGAACCACACCTTAGTTGACCTGAATCATCTCTAGTGGTCTCTCTATCTCATTTTAACTTTTGAGGGAATCTGGGGCAAGAAAATTCCCAAAGTATGTGGCTTGAATAAATGCTTATAGTTAGGCGAAGTGAATCTTTGATGCACACTTCTGTTTCAGAAGAGCCATTTTTCTTCATTGAAATGACTTTGCCTAATGGTATAAACGTTACCATGGAAATAAAGCACTATATATTAGCACTCATTAAGCACCTGCCTTTCCTTTTTCTATCACGGGTGAATGGTCTGAACAGTGTCTTATCAAGCAGCTTTCACAGGCTCGGGAGTAGGAGAGATTGATTTGATTCAAAGTAAAGCTGTCTCTGGGATCTCAGATCATCCATTTCCCTCATGGATCCCCACTCAGATGACCACAGCCTACACAACCTTGACCACTTCAGTTAACCAGATGGATTCCCACAGTGACTGTTTCAGTCACTGTAAACCTTCCTTTGTTATTTTTTTTTCCTACTACATAATGGAATAACACAGGTGTGAGTGAGTTTTCTGAAGTGCAACTTTGCTCTTCTGTGCTTTTCTTCTCCCTTTATATCCAAGGACATATTTATATCCTGATAATCTGGGTGTTGTGATGGAATTCAACATTTAAGAGATGTTTCAGCTCCTTGTGAGGGGAGTATAAGTGCTTGCATACCTAGAGAAAAATTGCTGGCAAGGCAGTAAAAGAAAATGACCAACAGAGACTAAAGACGCAGTCAAGACAGGCCAATAGATATAGTAGAATGACCCACTGCAGCAGCCAAGTTCACAAGCAGTAAAGGCAGAGAAGGTGAGGGGTGCTTAGAAAGGGGAGAAAGAGTAATGTCTCTTCTAAACACTTTCCAGACCCGATAGAGAAGATTAGCTGCTAATGAGAGGGTCAGGAAAGCCTTTTAAGTGTGGCAATTCAAGGAAATTTATCCATTTATCTACTTGATTTCCCCCATAGTTACAAAGTGATTCCTTATGGGCACTTGTTTCCCAAGCATGTATAAATCACACCTATCCTTAGGCTTACATAAACTAAACTGTGCCGGAAGAGATCCTAAATTCCTGGTTAATTCCCCAGTTAAACATTATATATGAAAATGTAGGCACCAAATGCAGGGTTCCTATATGCCAATGATATTGTCTTTCCACTCTTTAAAATTGTTAAAAACAAAATTTATAATAGCTGAGGGAGGCCAAATAAAGAGCACATCCTCTTGTAAGATTCACAGGTGAGATGCTCTCAAGGACAAAACACACAAGTTCTTGGCCATGTAAATGACAGCCTAGGCTAACACAGCTGCTGAAAAATAGCGTGAGCCACATTGAGTTCCCCCTTTGCCCAGCCAGCCCCCAGGTTGAAGCTGGGCTCTGTCTTCTGCTCACCCTTTCAGCTCACCATGTAACAGCATCTGCATCAGGTTTTAGCATGGAAAAGCTGTCCTTTTCATATTCTTCCTTTCACAGCGACCAGTGACATGGAAATGCCAAGAAGTGGGTAAGCCACAGGTTTCCCAGAGAAGTACTGAACGCCTTTCCCTACTTGACTTTCAATACAGCTATTCAGTACAGCTATTGTTACTATGGGCCAGGACAAACACGTTTTCTAAGCAGAGCAAGAGGAAAAGATAGAAATATCCATAAACTGCACACAGCAGGCAGTTGGCTGAGTAGAGAGATATGAAGGAGATGGATATTTGCAGACAATGCAGAAGTTATTGTGACAGCTGCAGATTGCAAGCCTTCTGTGGTAAACTCAGAGCTCAGCCAAGATCTCAGGAAAAGGAAGGGAAAGAAACCCCTAGGAACACTCTCCCAAGCCCAAAATATCACTCTGATGAAAGGTGACTTGGGAGGTTGTAAGAGATTATTCTTTTACATCATTGTCTCAAAGCTTGCTGAGGACACAGATGAACAAGGCCAGGGGCAACAAGAGAGGGATAAGCTGCAGCTTAATGGCCGTGAAACGGTCTTTTGTGTGGAATTATCTCGAGGAAGATGGCCATCTCAGGGGTACTCACATGACTCTTGCTCAAGCACCCAGGGATGTCACGTAGGCAGGAAAAGAAGAAGGATAAAACGGGAACCTACAATCATGAGGTGAGATATTCTGGCAACAGATTCCTCATGAAGGAGGAGAGGTTTCTGCTATGAAGAAACCTCACGACCTGCCTCTCCCTCCCGGACTTACTCTGCGCTCTACCACGATGCTGAAGAACAAAGGTGTCTGCCATCAGGTTCCTCACTACGGAATGCCTGCATACTGACGGACTGCCTCCTGCTGCCTGTTTGCTGCCCAAGGCCGGCCACGCTGCTGCTCTCCCCCCTGCTGCTTCTGCCTCGGACCTTCGAAGCGGCGTGCAACGGGACCGCTGCTGGATCCTGGTGGTGACTATCCCAGCTTTACGGCATTCTTGCTTCTTTCCTATCGCCCTCCTTCCCTTCCCCGTCTCCCTAATTAGGATGTATAATAAACTGGTTGGACTAACATATGAACCGTTGTTTCTTAATCTCACACCGGGTATACAGATATTAAAAGAACCTCATCTCCCTCCTATAAATTGGAGCGAGACAGAGGTCTTGGTGAAAACTGACAGTGGTTACTAACAGTGTACTGTACGTCATGGAGGGAGGGACAGGATAGTTGTGGGAAAACATGGGTGAGTTTTAACACTGTTTTTAATATTTTTTTCTTTTGTAATTTTCTTCTGACTGCATACCCTTTGACAGTTTTGCCAGCACAACTCCCAAGATTGCACACAGATCACACTTCAAACAGCAGAAAATAATAATCCTCTGTCCTTCCAAGAGCTCTTCTACATACAGTGGATTAGCAGTTACCATGGTTTGGCTTCAGTATTAATGTCAGAATCAGAGCAAATGCACTGAGTTTTAACATCTCTCTGAAGCAGTCCCACTTCACCACTGCTCTTTCAAGTTCTTGTAAGAGCACACAAACCTAGCCAGTGACAATTTTGTTTCTATCTACTGGCTTTTTTAGGTACTGCAACAATTGCACTTCTATCAGCATTTTCAGCTTCAAGTAGACAACCTGTGGCCCATTACAGATGCTCAAGCTGCAAGCAGTTCAGTCACATACAGCCACCTGTAACAGTCCACTTCAGTCTGGAAATGAAGCTGAAGGACATTCCCTCAAGGAGCACCAGTTGGCAGCCATACATTGAATCAGCTGCATCTCCAAAGTGCCTACAGTAGAGCAGTTCCTCAGTCAGCAGCATATTCCCTGCAATAATTAATATCTACATTATCAGCTTAATCTCATGAAATAACAGGAGGCAAAAACCCACTCAGATGACAAAGATATCAAACCACAAGTAGAAGATGACTGTCCCGGTCCACTTCTTTTTTCAGCACACACCTCTTATTGTCCCTCTGCTCAGATAAGGAGCCTCTGAAATGCTTTCCAGCTACAAACCAAAATGGTAACAAGTATGGGTGTGCTGCTGCAGGAAGCTGGTCTTCAATGCAGACCATCAGTCTGTCTTCAATGATCTGGGAGCACCTGTGGACTAGATCTTCTCTGCCTTGACACACTTATGCTGTGTATCCCAGACAGCTCTTAATTTCCTTGATTCCCCACCCTCCTTGCAAATCTCTTTTGTTCTGTACTACTAAGTATTCATTGTTCTTTCCCTTCATATATAATTTTTCCCTTTGATTCTGCCAGTACTTTGAGGGAGGAGGGTGTGGACAGAGGCGGGGAACATTCTGTAAGATAAAGCTGTGTTAGGTCACAGCGTTGTAACTGAGTTCACTTCAAGGACAGTGTCGTGATCATATGCTAGTTGGAGAAAAAGAGTGGGAGAGAATCTGGGAGTGCTTTTCCTCTCTTCTGGTTTTATTTTCAGTTTCCAAGGAGGATATGTCATCCTGTAACTAAGGCAGCAGTGTGAACTGCAAAAGATCTGAATGCCATTCTCTGCTTTCTCTAGGTTTCTTCTGAAGATCATAGAATCACAGAATATCCCAAGTTGGAAGGGGTCCATAAGGATCATTGAGTTCAACACAGCACCACCTGAGCTCCAGCTCCTGAGAAGATGATTTCTGAATAACCGGTTGTATAATCTTTGTCTGATGGTCTTCTCTTTATTCTTTGTAGACACAGCCACTAGCAGATTCTGATTGCTACAGATCACTTTGGTATCCAAAATTATTTGATGATATTTTTACAAGACTGCTTTTATCAGCAGTTTGCTATTCACAAGAGACCCATGAAGTTATAACACAATTAGAGGTAGTGTTTCTATTCCATATTTGAAGGAGTGTAAGCCTTAATCACCCAGTACAAATACTTCCAAAAGTGAATTTAAAATTCACGTTCCCCAGATGAAAGGACACAGAATCTTCAAACTAATTTTTTGTGGGTGAATATACAATTATGTTTCTGTCTTGTTGGTGTTTGCTGACAACGATCCTGAAAGGCCTGTGTTTGCAGCCTGTATCAATTCATTTAGGAACTCAAAAAATCCACAGAAAGTTGCTCTTGGTGCCATTCAAATATCTCTAGTCTCTTCTGTTCACATCCTTCTTTTGTGAAGGAGACTGGAGCGCCAGTTGAAAACCAGAAAGGAAGGTGTTAGCCCTCTGTGTAGAATCTTCAGTTGCAGTAGCAGAAAAACATTACTTTTTTCAGACTCCAACACTGCTATAAATAACCACCATTACTAAGAATAATCCTAGTTTAAGGAGGAAGTAGAGGCACCAAATGATTAAATGATCAAAAGCCAACAAAGTCTATGACAAAACCAATAATGCAACAGAATTCTCTGAATGAGCAAAGCATTTTTCTGAGAACAGCTTCCTGTTTTTTGCTGTTCTCCCATTTGGGGATGTTCTACTCTGTTGGGCTTTTTCCTTATCTTGCTGTGTCTCTGCTGACATCTTCAGTAATAATCCTGCATTTGGAAGGAAGAAACAAAAAGTTAGAGACAGTCTAGGCTCTGATGTAATGAATGAGACATAGCAGGGATGAGGTAAAAAAGGATAAATTGTATGTACTATCTGGAAAAGGATAATCTAAGCAGAGAAATACCGTACTCTTAAACTTCAAGGGAGTTACTACAGATAGCTAAAGGTGAGAAAGAGAAATTAAGATGTACAGAAAGTACATGACAAACATCTCTTTTAGTATCACTTTTGATGCCTTAAAAACCTGCTAGTCTTCACTAATCTTGTCAAGTTATGGCCAGCTGGCCCAGAGAAGAAAAATGTTCTCCCTTAAGCAGAATTGGACATATAATTTGGCTTTAGTCTTTCCCTTTAAGGTAGCTCTATTTTCACATATGTAAATTATGCCGCTCTGGAGTAATAAATAATTTCTGTTCCAACAGTTTTTATACCTATGAACACTGTAATATTATGCTATGGTATTGATCACTGGATTTTCTTCAATTCAGGCTCTTCAATTCTGTCTTCTTGTTTTCATTTTCAGTTCACAACTTTTATGATGCATCATGTTCATCTGTCAGGATACAGAAAAAGGAGAGACTGTCAGGCAAAACACAGGCTATTCTTTCTGTGAAGATTTGTGTTGCCCTTCAGATGATTTTCTCTTGAGCTTTTAGAATTTTCATCATCATCCCAAAGGAAAAAAAAAGTGTGTGTACCATGAGTATATGAAAGGAAGCTAGGGGAGAAGGGTAAAAAGGAGTTGTCCTTTACTTGTTACTGACAGCTGAATGAAAGCAGATATGCATATGGCTGTATATTTCATCTTGCTAGTTATAGAGGTGATACAGTCTGATGGAGTTAGCACTAAACAAAAGTAGCTGCAGTATCAGTGTACATAGCTTTTCACCCTTCTCTCTTCTCCCATCAGTACAATTAACGGCATTTGGCTATTCAATAAAAAGTGTTTGGGGACTTAATACTTTGCTGACATGCAATAGAAAGCTTCAGGTTCTGCTATGCATGATTCATTTTTCCCATATGAGTAAAGGCTGAATGTAATACAAGTAAAGGTTGAATGTTTTGAAACTATTAGATGAAGCATGACCTTTGAGTGGAGAAGTTATCACTGAAGCAGTCTCTAGCAGGCTCTTAGAAGAGATTTCTCTCCCCAGATTTGAGTTATATATTCCATGTAATCTCTTAAGTTTTCCCTATGGTCAAAGTACAGAGATGGATGCCTTCAAATTGGCATCCATTTATTAAAATGCCTAACACTGAGAGGATGACTTGTGGCTGATTAACTTCTCTCTCTCTGGGAGCCTGAAGATTACCTTTATCAAGTTACCTGAGATTCAAACAGTGAAAGATAAGAAAGATGAATCCCACCTGAACTTAGAACTTGTTCTCAGCTGTGTTTGTTCCAAAATATTCCCTTTTATGGCTTAGAGCCCTTATCACCAAGTAAGGAGATTCATGAACTTCTGACCCCTTTAGGCTTGCCAACCTCAAACAGCCGTACAAAAGGAAGCTAGGATTCAATGTGCTACATGAATTGTCAACAGAAGTTTAATGGAGCTCTGCTCCCTGAGCCTATTACTGGCAATGATTTTGGAGCCAGAAAGAATCCAACTAGCTAATCAGGATGAGATTCCAATGTATTTACTGAACGCTTCAGTGTTACTTATAAACAGTATGTTTGATAGAAAAGTCATCAAAGGACAATAAACACTGACTCAAATAAACATTGACTCCAGCAACATTATGTTTGTAGATCCATTTTTGTAATAATTCTAGCTCACTTCAGAGTGCTCAACCGAAATTATCCTCTCATTTGTTTACGCATTAAGCGAGACACTTCTTGATTTGACTATTACCTCTTTCCTCTGCCACTTGACAGCATTGTGCTACAGCACAAGGAATTTCTGTGGAGCAATTTTAAAATGCTCAGGCCGTCAAGCTAGGTGACATGTCAAGGATTATATCTCCATCACTTCTTTGTTACCAATTTGCAGACCAGATCTCTGTTAAGATGCTTTATTGACCTATGTTGAAGAATTTCATGCACCATGGTATGAGGTATTGAGCTTTTTTTTTTGTCTTACTGTCAGATTTGAATCACAGATGTTCCTAAGGATCATTCTCTGACCTCAAGAAATTACCTTTAAGGCAAACTGGATCAGATACTGAGTAGAGAAGAGGTAGAAACTGATACTATAAGCAAAAAGATAATGAGAGAAAGCCAATCATGCTCTTATGTTCTTCCCATAGTGTGATATGCTTGGTTCCTGTTACACATCCCATCTTCACTGACGTCATCTGTGCTGTGGTTTTTCAATACTCCTCAAAACAGCAAGACTTCCTATGCTATTGCAAATTGGAGAAGAGCAGACTCACAGCATTGTCCCACAGAAATGCAACTCCAGTTGCATTAGTTTCTAAATATGGTGCGTGTATCCTGTGACAGCTAGTTTATGGGGAAGATACTGCCTTCAAGATGTTCCTTACTACCTACATCTACTTAAAAATAAGTACGTAATGATTTTCAACTTCTAGTCATACCATTTTTTTCTCTAGTTTCTGAGAAGGTCGCGTATTTTCTTAGCTGCCAGGGGACTTTAATGACAGATCTCTCAGTGATATTTTCTTAGCCTATTCAGGAAACTCTTCTTTTTTTTTCTTTTTTTTCTAATCAATGTACTTTTTAGTTCACCTCTGTGAAATGCCTTCACTAATTAAATTCACTGCTCTCCCTTGCATCTACAGCCAATAAGTGCTTGCAGAACATGACCACATTCTGTCCTTTTCTCAAGGGATGTTGTCAGCTAGCAGAGTGGTTTGTGTTTACCTGACTTTTAGCCCACAGATAGGATGGTGCATACCAGCCTATGGATCAAGCCACAGTCTTCCCTCTCCAGTTCCTAAAGACTCTCCTCTACACCTATTTCATACTTTCCCCCTCTTCTTTCTTCTTGAACAGCCATTTCTCACATTTCTCTCTTGAATAGTCCTGTCTGCTTCTTGATCTAACTTTTGTGTAAAATTTTGAGTTCAATTCTGAAACGGTTGCTAGGCAAAGAAGGAAAATGGGTGAGGTGTCTGACAGAAAACTCCACATATCTGAGTTACATGGATTAGGAAGAAACTGATGGCTCACATTCAACATCTGCAGAGGGTGAAACAAGGTGAATATGAGATATGTAATCCTTGTAATTCCTTTGAAGGATTTACTGTGTGGATCTGCTGTTCAATTACCTATGGGCCAGCAAGAAGATTATCAAGGAAAAGAATTTCCCCTGTGACATACAAAGGGACTTAAACCTGAAGTGTAAGTGAGAAGATTTTGCAGGCTGAGCGCTGTCTTTTGTTAAAGGAGGAAAGGTGGACTTTTCCCCTGTAGATCCACAGGTTTGATTTTAATTAAGTCCCCTACGTTTTCAAAGTCTTGTACGAAGTGGGAAGTAGCCATATCACTCCTACCCTATCTCCTCTTCCATGTGAATCATGCGGCATAAACCTTTGTACATCCACCACAGAGACTGATGGGCTTTATCATTTGCTCAGGGCTTGATCTTGGGAGGAACTGGGCTGAAATAGGAGATCAGTTTGGTTTTTTCTCAGTCTCAAGGAATGCCAGGATCTTGGAGGAATGCCATGGTCTGCTATGGTCTCCCATCAGAACAGGGGACGCTTCTAGTCTAACTAGATTCAAAGACTAGGCATCAAATAAAAATTTCAGTTCATTTGTGGCAAATAAAATACATAGAGCTTCCCTGCTTCTTGTAGGAAGTGCACTGTTTGTAAAGCCCATAGATGGATAACCAGAATCATCTACCTGCCTCTTCCACAGATGACTACTATTCTGGTGGTACAAGCCCTCACTAGATCTCTGTGCATGTCCTTGCTCTGTTCTCCTCAGCCTCAGGGGCAGAAGAGAACATGTGCACATGAGAGCACAGGAATCAATTACAAACTTTTCTGCTTAAATAACTGAATTTAGTACTTCCGAAGTAACCATTCATGCTTGTGGTATGAATCAGAGATGGATTTGGCTCACCTATGCTAACGCTGCACCCATGCACCAGGACCCCCTGCAACCTACTGCACAGTGACACAGAGGAGGAGGGCAGTGCTCCAGCCTTGTCTTTTTGGCTGACTCCAGCTCCTTTCCACTTGGCTGCCTCTGGGTTTGTTTTAATAACTCAGCTGTCTGAGCATCATTAAAATGGCTCTAACTGGAGCCTGTGATAAGATAGCAATCAGCATATGAACCAAAGTGACTCACTCGACAAATAATATTTGCCTGTACTTTTATGAGAATAATGAAACCGCTACTGTAAGGCTCCCAGGAGCCAAGTGACAGGGACAAAGTGAAGTGAGAGGGAATGACTGTAAGTCTTCCTAGAAAGACGGATGGAAAGAGAGCTTGCAGGACAGTACATTTTCCTCTTGGGCAGTTTTGCATACTAATATACATTGGAAGCTTCAAGCAAATGCTGCATGGATTACAATTCCCTTAAAGGAAAATTAAAACCAGCACATCTGAATCTTGCTGAAGCACACTGCCCCACACTGCCACTCACCCACTCTTCCCCAAGCTGGATGGGGGAGAAATTGGAAGGATAAAAGCACAATAAGATAGTTTAAAAGGTAAAACTAAAGCTTCACATTCAAGTAAAGCAAAATAAGGAATTCATTCACTGCTTCTCACTGGCAGAATGGTGTTCAGATATTTCCAGGAAAGCACGGCTCATCATGCCTAATGGGGAAAAAAAATGCCATAACCCCCAAACATCTCCCACTATTCCTCTTCTCTTTCTCCAGCTTTTATTGCTGAGAACAATCACAGAATCACAGAATTGCCAGGGTTGGAAGGGACCTCAAGGATCATGAGTCTCCAACTCCCCTGCCACATGCAGGGCCACCAACCATCCCTCCTAATGCTAGACCAGGCTGCCCAGGGCCCCATCCAATCTGGCCTTGAACACCTCCAGGGATGGGGCATCCA